TTAAGAAATTAGCCCCCAAAATCTTTCGAATTGGTGCTACTCAGAGGTGCTCGTATCAAAACTCTGTTAACTATATATTAGATCCTCCTCAAAAATTTTCATATTTCTAAATTAGACCATCAAACCTTAATTTTCAGATTTGAAGATGTAAACTGAAAATATGAGTGCTACTTACCTTAAGATGTTGGGGTCTAAGATGACAAGGACCCTTTCAGAGTTCCCTTTTATTTATTTACTAGTATAATGCACGTGCTTTGCATGTGAACATACATGTTTTTAAGTTTTGATTTTTTTTATTGAATAGTAAAACTATGTGTTAATAAATAAAATTATGTAATAAAATTTTTCCTTTTGTGAAAAATTAAAAAATTAAAACAACAAATAAAATAGCAGATAAACACTTAATTAATACATGTAAAAACAAAAATTGTGACTACGCGTGAGAAAGTCACATAATTTAAATATTTTATGATAGTATAGTGCACGTTCAAAGAGCATACTTATTTTATTTTTTGTTTAAGTGATAAATTATACGATAAAACTATGTATAAATAACTATATGATTAATTATTATAGTTTGAATAATTATTATTTATTCATAATTTATTAAAATAATTATGATAAATATAAACTATTATTTTGTTTACGTACTAAATGTTTTTAAAGGAAAAACGTACATGTTTTGCCCTCCGAATGCTATTATTTTATAGTATAATATAAAATAAGAATAGTTTATATCTTATAATTCTAATACTATTATTTTTTAACCTGTTATTTCTATATATTATTAAAATAATAGTATTTATGTTTTGATTTTGAATGCATACTTATGATAAATAAAATATGTATGTTTTTTTCTTAAAAACATAAATACTATTATTTTTCATGTGTTTTTATATATTATTAAACTAACTTTTCAATTGCTTTGTATATTCCTCTAATGCCAAATAATACTCCAAAGTAAAAAAGGTTAAATCTTTATCATCACATTGAAATCAATTCCTGAAACGAAAAAAATTTCAACATTCGATCAAGATGGATCATGCCGATAACTCAAGGTCCTGCAGGGGCTTAATTTTGGAGGTATAGTAAGCTCCAGTAGCCTAGAGGCTAACGTCTCCTTCCTTGAAGGTAATCAATAAATGAGACCAAATAGAGGTTGATCGAGTTTGTTGGCGAGAGCTCATGGACTATTGCGAGAGTGAAAGAAAGAGAGATTATGAGGGCAAGAGCTTAATATTGGAGGAGAAACTTATTTTTCATGATTGATGAGGGATTTGTGAGGGTAGAAGTAAGAGGTTGTATTTATAGATTGATTGTTTGGCAGCTATAAGATGGAGGAGAGGAAGAGGTTTGAGTTAAGACAACACTTCATAAGTAATTATGAGGTGTTAATAGGTTGAGAAAAGCTTAATTAGTGGAGTCTGAAAGATTATGAAGACTTTTAGAAAAGAAAAAAAAAAAGATAATGAAAAGTTTAATTATCCTTGTTGACCTTTATCCAAATACAAACAACATATACATATAACTTTCGCTATAGAAATGATTGAATACATCAATTCAATTTTTATTACAAGTGAATAAGAATTTGAATTCTCATAATTAGGTGTAAATTAACGTTAGTAGAGAGGGACTATTATTTAAATGAAACCCTTAGGCTTCAATTAACGTTATGCATTCACCTTTCAATTCCTCAAGAAAATTAAAGATCATCCCTTTGAATAACCACCTAGCTATTGTCCTTTTTGACCTCGAATAAGGTGCATTAATATGTAGCGCATATAAGCACATGTATTAGATATATAGTATTATTTGTTGTCAATTGATGTTATTATTGAGGATATTTTTGGGGAAAAGTTTTAATGTTCTAATAATATAATGTATTTATATTATTTTGAAAAAAATTAAAATAATAGTATTTTATCATAATTCATATTTTATAGTATACTATATAAATATTGAATCAACATACTAATAATATAATATAATGTATTTATGTTTTTCTAAGTGTAATATTCTTTTTTAAAAATAGTAGTATTAGAATTATAATATTGAATCAAAACTATTATTTATATTTTGCTGTAGTGTAATATAAACTATGATTTTGTTTACGTACTAAATTATGATAGTAATAATTAGTGAGAATTATAAAAGACTAATATATTAATAGGAGATTATATAATGCATTTAATTGAAGGTTATGTATGTATGATGTATGATTTATGCATGAATGCATGTGTTTTATATAATAATGTATGTGTTTAAAAGGGCATTTTTGGAAGAAATGTTTTAACATGCCAACACACTTTTATAATAGTATTAGAAAAAAAATTTAATGTTCTAATAATATAATGTATTTATATTATTTTGAAAAAAATTAAAATAATAGTATTTTATCATAATTCATATTTTATAGTATACTATATAAATAATGAATCAACATACTAATAATATAATGTATTATGTTTTGCTAAGTGTAATATTCTTCTTTAAAAATAATAGTATTAGAATTATAATATTGAATCAAAACTATTATTTATATTTTGCTGTAGTGTAATAATATAAACTATGATTTTGTTTACGTACTAAATTATGATAGTGATAATTAGTGAGAATTATAAAAGACTAATATATTAATGGGAGGTTATATAATGCATTTAATTGAGGGTTATGTATGTATGAGATATGATTTATGCATGAATGCATGTGTTTTATCTAAGCATGTATGTGTTTTAAAGAGTGTTTTTGGAAGAAATATTTTAACATGCCAACACTCTTTTATAATAGTATTAAATTTATTTGAGGAATACGGAGGGGGTTTCGTAGTCTAAAAATAAGAAAGAAATGGATGAGTTTAATGGCTCCATCCCCATGAGACGAATAGCTAGGCATAGAAACTCTAAGTTGGTTAAAACTCAACAATATTAGTTGCGTGATGATTTACTTTCCCATACATGCACTTCATCATCACCTTGAAATTTTTCTCATGAATCCATCACGAACATACGCACGTACTCACATCCTCACTTATTGACGAGTATCGGAACATTGATTCACGCATCAATCTTCAGTAACCTACTGGCATCCAAAATAGCGAAGTATAAATTTTATCAGAACACTCTGTGTCCAAGCAAAGGAATTTTGAACCATTCACTCGGAGGGCAGGAAGATAAATTGGATCTCCTTCGTGGTTACAAAACACCGGCACTCATATATGCGTCTGCTGCTTCACAACAAATTAAAGAGCGTGGGTTTGTGCATCCTCATGCGCGTATGCATCCTACGAAGCATATGCAGACTTACTAATCGGCCTAGTGGCTGCTTTGGACATAACGCGCTGCACTGGTAATCTCATGTTACCACGACACCCTTTTTTTTTACTTTTCCTATATACTTCTCCCAGAACAGGCGCATCCAAGGATGCACAGCTTTACGACTGTCCTCTTCATTTCAGTTTCTTCCCCGTGCAAAATTACCAAATTGGTATTTTCTTACACCCACTTAAGTGATTTTGTATTTTTTTTTTTTTTAGCTCCAGCGACTTTTTCATATTTTTTTTCTTATCCGATGGTCAAATAGGCCCAAAAGTTGATCGCCGGCTAAAACATTTTAGGTTTTGGTCCTTCAAATCTTCAGTAGCTTGATATTAGCCCCTCAAGCCATTGAAACTCACCCTCTAGCCTGCCTCCACCTCACCCTCCTACGCCCCACCGCCTTCCCCTTCATGTTCTCCAATGACATTCCTCTCCTCAAAACCCTCAAAATCCCTGACCTCGATCCCAACCCCCTCCTCCCTCTCCTCCCACCTCATCATGATGGAGCTCAAATCCCCTCACCCACGATCCCACCCTCCACCAAGGAACATGAAAAGGGGGAGTAAAGACGGCGGCGCGTTGGAGGGGGGATTTGGGGGTGAATTTCAGTGATTTGAGGGGTTAACAATATCAAACTACTAAAGATTTGAAGGACCAAAACCTTTTTTTTTTCAACTGACAGCCAACTTTTAGGCCTATTTGACCATCGGGCTTAGAAAAAAGTACCAAAAGTGACAGGAGCTACAAAAAAATACCAAATTGGTTAAGTGGGTCTATAAAAAAATACCAATTTGGTAATTTTTCCCTTCTTCGAAAGTACATAAACTGAAAAAGATTTGCACAAAATATTCCCACCTCTATGATGCCTCAAACTCACCTAAACTATTATGCTATCAAAAAACATGAGTACACGAATGACCTTTGATCCTCCTGAACTGAGATAACAAGCAGAATGTCACAATGGTTATTATTACTATGGTTATACACAAACAATAAAGTAATCACATGTTATTCTCCCATTCACCACCCCTCGAAAAGTATACAAAGTGGGGAATATAGGGACCTCTTGTGATATAGAGTACAGATAATCATTTCTACATGTTCTTCTCCCACATTGAGTACAGAACTGCAGAAACATTAACAGCATGATTAATACATAACAGTGAGTAGGAACATAAACAAAACTAACTTTAAATGAAAATTCACTAAACTAATAGTTTCTAACTGGTGAAAGGAGTATAAAAGAAGGGAAAAGAGAGAACGTTTGGTCCGACAAAGGATTTAGTATTGATTAATAAAATCAGAGCTTAGCCATGTACAGTAAGTAGCCTTTGCCAGCAGTGCCTGGCATTGCAGCCAATCCAATGAGGTTAACTTCTTAAGAAGCTTTGTTTTTTTAAATCATATGTCAAGCATGTAAAAGTTAATGTATCGAGCAAATAATGTTCGATGCAATATGTAAGTGACTTTCATCAATGCACATTTCATACATTTAAAGGAAAAAAAAGTATAGTCGACTACTAAAGACTTAGACAAAATGTTAGTTTCTATAAAAATACAGTGTAGTCGACTACTAAAAGTCATTTTAGAATTCTTAACTTTCTGTTCTTTACAGTATAGTCGACTACTACACAGTATAGTCGACTACTCTTCTTTGAATTTGAATTCCAGACTTTTTGTTTTTTACAGAGTAGTTAACTAATGGCCAGTGTAGTTGACTACTAAGAAATATCTTGAATTAACAGAATCTGTTCTAACTCAGTGTAGTCGACTACAACGACTATTAGTCGACTACAGTGATAGTTTTATGACATTTCAGAATTTGAATTTGTGACTGTTTTTAGCCGTTTTGTTTTGTTAATTGGCTTTGAAATCTTATCTTTTCAAGGGATATAAATAGGTTACAAGTTCATTGCAAATAATGATTCCTATCTATAAGATAAATATTTGTGTATTCTCAAGAATTCAAAACATTCAGATTTTTCACTTGAGAAAAGTATTCTCTGAGTTAGCCTTTGATCTTCATCCAATATACAACTTATTTAGGAAACTTCCAGAAATTAAAAACATTCCTAAAGCCACCGCTACACATCACTACACAATCAATGCTTATAGGAATTGTGGTGTTGATTCAAGAAAAGTTCTCTCGGGTGTGAGAGTTGTGATCTCTTGGTGAAGAGATTGTGTGCAATTTGCATGGTCTTGCGTTTGGTGGGAAAATTTGAAGAAGAAAATTGAGAACAAAAATGTATTATTCTCCCTAACTGATTTAGATAAAGAATGATTACAACGTCCTCAATACAATTTCTCTCTAACAAACTTTAGAAAAAGAAATTACAATCTTATATTGGATTCCTAATTTACAAAAAAAAAAAGATCGACGGAGATCCTCCCCTTTGTTTAAAACTGGGTTCTTCACGGTTACGACGAGATGCCTCTCTCGACGTTTGTATCAAATTTGCTTCTCGTTGACGATCCGATATCTCACTTCACTGGAACGGCTAATATAAACTTACGTGGTAAGTATGAAAAGAACTCTTATGAGTTTATGAACTCAAAACGAGTTTAAACTCTATGAAAAGAGTTGTTAAACCAAAAAATTTGGTTACTGAATTAAGCTATCTGTTATGAAAAGATCCTTCAAACCTCCTTCCGAATCAACCCAAAATCAGATGTCGATCTCCAAAAATCTGATTTTCACCCTAAAAAATCTGATCCCCCTACTCGGTTGAGTTGATTGGATATTTATAGGAGGATAAGGGGGTGTAACCGACCCCTTAATCCACTCCTAAGTGGGCGAGAATCCCTCAATACATGGGGAAAACGATTTTAAAGCCGTTCAGCTCGTGTTTTAACAAGTCAAACGCCTCAAGTTGGCGTTCAGGAACCGAACTCTACGTCTCAGATTTGGGACGCAGAGTTAGGCATCCGCCTAATGCTGAAACGCAATGACCGCATTGCGTTTTGAAGGTGAAACGCAGAGGTCGCTTCTGTGTTTTTTTCCGAAGAGATTGTAGGTTTGTGACCTCCCCTGTTAAAGTGCTGCAAAGACTATTGTTCTATAATCTTCACTTTAGCTATTTTTGAGATAAGAGTCGTCGGAATTGTTGATTGTGAAGGTTATTGAATCAGATCTTTTATCACTCGTTGTGAAGGTCGTTGAATTATAACATTTCTCGTTCTACGTGAAAACTCTCCAATTGTAGCTTTCGTTTATTAATGTGAAAGTTGTTTGATTGTAACTTTCATTATTGAGATACTGATATACAAGTCGCCAAATTGTAACTTCTATCATTAAAGTTTGGTAGGGATCAACTATCTATTGTGATTTTAGACAGTCTACAGAACGCCCTCCAAAGTTTTCAAAAGTTCACGGTTGATTGGGACGAATTTTTAGAATACTTTGAATCCTAAAATTTGTTGAATGATTGTTCACTCTCTGTTTTGAGGACATTGTAAACTTGGTTGTCGGAATTTGCTGTACGTCGGAATTCTGCTTCCTGTATTGGCAATTACTCACAAATTTTGGTAACGGTTAACCTCATATTCCCGATAAACAAGATAACTTTTGTATTTTGATAATAATGAACTTAGTCAAATAAGCTAAAGCCCAAGTCATCATCATTAGATCCATTAGTGTTGGCCTTTTGTTTTGATGATGTTTAACAAACAATTTACTACTAATATTGTTTGTCTAGTGTTTGTGTTTTTATAGTTATTCTAGGCAAACGATGAGTTGGAGATTGGATGGAATTGAGCTACACGATCATATCAAACGGAGGTTGACGGAAATAGTGGATTGAAGCAAATACTTTCAAATCTAAAAGCACTTCTTCATCCACAAGTTTACCAAGAAGAGCTTATTGAAGATCAAGATCAATCTTGGGTAATTTAGTCTAGGTTTTTATATTATGTGTGTTAGTACTTTAAGCTCAATCATATACACACATACACGTTTTGATTTTGTATATTATATATATATATGTTTTGGTTTAGCTATATAGATGTGAAACAATAGTTATATTCATATACACTTTCATGTTTCGTATTCTATTGGTTTTGGAAAAACAAATGTGTTTTGTATTATATATACATTTTTTGTGAAAATAATGTATTATTGTTTGTAGACTTAACATTCACTACATACATCTTTTATTAAGTCTATAAAATTATTTTGTAAAGTTTCAAAACATGGTTTAGCTAAAATATCAAAAACAAGTGTTGTGTATTTTCATGTTTTGGACATATTTTACAAATGATGATATTTTACAAATGAGAGATGCTTTTGGAAACGAGTTTTTGTAACATGCTCATTTTTATGTTTACAATAATTTCTCAAAGTTTTACATTTTTTTAGAATTTATTTGATATTTTTAAATGAGGATTAAAGTTGATTTTTACTATTCATATCAGGCTGATAAAATGTTATCAGTCGACTGATACATGTGTTCAGTCGACTGAAGAAAACGCCTGGAATTATCAAAAGTTTCTGTTTTATTTCAGTCAACTGATCAGTCGACTAATGAGGTCATTGGTCGACTGACGAGTTCATCAGTCGACTGATGATGTGTTGCTTAATGAGGTCATTGGTCGACTGACGAGTTCATCAGTCGACTGATGATGTGTTGCTGGCCTGTAACGGTCGTCGGTTAGCTCATCAGTCGACTAATGAACAATATTAGTCATCAGTCGACTGACGGCATCATAACGGCTAGTTCTCCAGAATTTTCAGTTTCTGTTATTATCTTTTTGTGATGTTTTCTCTTAGTTTTTGGGGTTGTTTCATGAGCCTATATATACCCCATGCCTCATACTTCTAAGGTCAATTAAGAAAGTTTTTAAATAAGTTTGTTTTAGTGTTTGTTTGGTTTGTGAAGAAGTTTTCATAAGTGAAGGAGATCATCTTTATTGTTTGAGCTTCAATCTCCATCTCTCCATCTTGTTTTTCAGAGAAGAATTTCTAAACTCAATTCTAGCTGTGTGTTTATTATTTGTTGATTATCATCTTCATTAAGCTAGAGTTTATATTGAGTTTATATTTGATTTTCTCTTTGTTCACACACAACCTATTGAGCTTATTGTATTTACTTACATAGTATAATTGGGGTTGTGAGATTGTGTGATTTAGAGAGTGAGCTTACATAAAGTTCTCATCTTATATTAGAGAACAAATATTTGTATTCGTGCTTAATTGTGTAGATCACTTTGTAATACACTTGTACACCGAGAGTAGTGTGTGGTGTGAGACGGAGTCGTCCCAAGAGGAGTGAGGTCGGCGGTAATACCTAGAGAGGTTATAATTCCTAACACTTGAGGGAGACACGGGCTCGGGACCAACACTTAGAGGGTGTAAAGTGGGATTGTAAGAGTGACAGATTATAAAGTTTTCGGTGAACTAGAAAATCGAGTGTGAGTTATAAACGTTTGTCGATGAGTGTAGAAAACCGATTGTGAGGTGTAAACGTTTTCGGGTGAACGTTGAAAATCCGGTGTGATGGTGGATTTCTCCCCGGGAGTGGGGAGCGGAAACGTAGGACGGAAGGTCCGAACTCCATGATCATTTGATTGTGTTTGAGTTTGTATTGGCGTTCATTTATATTTGTGTTCATTGCTCATATCGTCTTTGTCTTATTATTTAGTTTGTCCACTATATTGTTTATACTTGTTTGTTTCATCCTTGTATTATTTGTATATCCTTGTATATATATCTTGTCACATATTATACTTGCTAGAATATTTAACAATAAGTTTTAATTTGGCATAAAATCAGATTAGATTAGCATAAACCTTATTCATCTCGTTCTAGGGTTCCTTTCTAGTGGCATTAGGGTGTCTTTCAATTAATAGGATTAACTTTTTTAGCCGATGCAACATGTGTGATAGCAACAGCGAATTTGCTTGGATCCTTGAGATACTCCTTCAACTTGTATGAAGATGTATTCAGTATGAACAACAGCAGCAAAAAGATTCTTGTAAGTATTGATGAGCACCCAAGGTGCAGCTGCAAGAGTTGGATAAGAAAGAACTAGGGACAACGAAGCAACCATAGAAACACCAGCTGTAAACTTGCTGACAAGGTCATCCTTAGTGAAGTTGAACACCTTTGGGCTGAAGACAGATCCATTGTCATAGACAGAGAGAACCACAAGCCCATACGAGAAGGATCTTATCCCAAATTTGGTTAGGAGGGCGGCCTCAGAAGAACCCACTTTGTCTCCTTTCTTGATCAACTAAACTGGGGTAATGATTTCAACAATATCCTTGTTAATCCTAGTTGGAATGTTAAACCATTTGGAAGAATGAGTTGCGCGACTGATCGAGCTTGATAGTATCAGCATTATTAATTATAACCTGTCTTTACTCATCCAAGAGGCTGCATAGCTTCTTGTTGTAAATATGTTTCTTCTCAGCTTTCGTCACCTTGATGGCCATTACTAGCTTCTCTGAGTATTTGAGGATGATTGCTGAAATGTTTGTTTGAGAGAACTTTGCATTTAAAAGCGCAGGGTGAATCTTTGCGTTTAGAAGTTCAGGGTGAACTTTGCGTTTAGAAGTTCAACCAACACGAACGCAAAGTTCGTGTTTTGGGCGGGATTTTTCCTAAAATCCCGTCCTGATTTGACAGCTCATAGTTGTCTATAAATAGACCACTGGGGTCTGTAGGCAATAAAAATTACCTTAATTCCTAGCAAAGAAGCTCAAAACTGACAAAAAACGCTAATATCTCTCAAACCGTAAGGAATTTAAAAAAATAGACAATAGCAAACCGAACCCTTTGGGGTCGGTTTGGTCGGCTCTGTCTCATCGAGATGGTCGATTTTCATATATAATTCGTCCAATTCCGACTTACGATTTGAAAGTTATGACCCTTCTTCGCAGCATGTTCTGAAGTCCACCTACAAGACTGGACTTCACCTAAAACATTGAAGTTCGCCTGCAATGCTAAGTTCGCCTGACAACTTAGCTCACCTGAACTGATTAAAGCTTGCCTGACAGCTTCGTCTACGAGGTTCGTCATGTAGCGAGGCTCAACATCAGAAGACGAGGTTCACTGCATCGCGAAGCTCGACATCAAAGTTCATCATTGTGGACAAAGTTACTCTGGAAGACGAAACTCGTCATTGGATACGAGGTTCGGAATTCACCAGTGGAAACGAAGTTCGGAGTTCGTCGTTGGATACGAGGTTCGGGGTTCGTCATTGGAAATGAAGTTCGTGGTTCATAATGAGGCTCGTCAAAAGGAAAGTCACGAGACTTGCTATACAGTTGGACTCAGCTATCGAAGACGAAGTTCATTGGTGAATACAAAGCTCGTCAGACGATGTCACTGAAGATAGTTTGCTATACTGCAGAGTTGGCCTTAGAAGACGAACATCGCTACATATTAAGGCTCGTTCAATCTGATGAACCTCGCCATGCAGCAAGGCTTGTTGTCTGTAGGAGATCCAGCTGCAACGATTTGAAGACCTAGTCAGCAGCATGCGCTAAACTCTAGGAGAACATTTCGCTCTAGTGACCAATGTGGGCTGAATTGGAGGAGGCAGTTACGCCCTCTACCCATAATTTTAGCACGTCAGTTACGTGCTGAAATCCTATAAATAGCCATGAGCGGCTATGGGGCAGAAGAGGAGCACGGGAGGCAGAGCTTTTGGCATAAAAGATTGAGATGCGAACCTCGGTTCTAACAATCTACGCCATCAACAAAGTCTGATTCTCCTCTCGAGTTAAAGCGATCTTGATCTAATCGTCAACGGGAAGCAATCTCGACTCAAGCATCGGGGGAAGTATCCTTTCACTACCAAGAGCCCACGTTAAACAATGAGGAGCTGAATTAATCTTCTCTTCATCTGTAATCGAGAGAGAGTGTGGAGTGATTGTAAGGGTTTCGTACCAAGTGATCGAATCCAGTTTTCTTAAAATAAGAGAATCAATCTCGGTCAATTTTTTGTTCCTACAGAAGATGGCGATCACAATGGGAGAAGCTATTCTTTCTGATGAACTGGTAGTGGTGCAATCAGATCAGATCGCGGTGGGTGTTAGACCCTAGAGGGGGGGGTGATTAGGGTCTTATGCTAATCTAATCCGATTAAATGCCAATTAAAAACTAATTAACAAGTTATCCTAGCAAGTATGAAATATCAAAACAGATATATGAGCTAGGATAAGCAACTGTAAACAATGAGATATATCCTATATGATGAAATATATATATATGGCAAGGATATATAAACTAACACAAGGGGTAAACAATGTGAACTAGATAGTGGATCATATAAATGATGAGCTAATGACAATGGCGATAAGAAATAAATAACACAAGTATAAATAAACGCAAAGCACACTCAAACACAAGATATGATCACGGAGTTCGGACCTTCCGTCTACGTCTCGCTCCCTCACATCCCGGGGAGAAATCCACTAACACAATCCGGTTTGGAAAGCCGGAACTTCTTCTACACAGCTCGTTTTCTAGCTAACCGAAACTCTAGCAACTCACACTCTTGCAATCACACTCTACACCCACTAAGTGTTGGACCTAGCCGTGTCTCCCTTAAGTGCGCGGTTACAACCTCTCTCTAGGCACATCAACCGACGCCACTCCTCTTGGGACGATCCCCGACTCTCACCACACACTCCTCACTCGGTGTACAAGTGTATTACAAAGTGATTCTCACAATAAGCACAAATATAACAAATGATTGTTCTCAAAACAAGGTGAGAACTCAATTAAGCATAACTCTTAGTCACAAACCCACAACCCCAAATTATACTATGAATGTAAATACAATAAGCTCAAAAGGTTGTGTGTGAACAAAGAGATATAAATCAAAACTAAACTCAATGTAGTTCTAGCTTAATAACAATGATAATCAAATATATAAAAAAGCTAGAAATAGAGTTTAGAAAACTTCTCAATATATCAAGAGTGGAGGGAGAAGAGTTGGATGCCCAAACACCAATAGATGATCTCCTCAAGCTCTTGTAGAATTGAATCACAAAAACAAACTCTCAATTTGCTTAAAAGCTTTTTAAACACACTTAAATCAAACTAAAACCCTTGTTAAAACTTTCTTAAACTTGTTTTAAAACTCTCTTAGTTAGGTGGAGAGCTGAAGGAAATGGGGTATTTATACCCTCTCAAAACTTTAGCAAAGCCCCAGCCAAAAAGACAAAAACAGTCTGGGGAATGATTGTAGACATGATAATGAACATGCTACAGCAACTGGTTATCAGAAAGGACTTCCCAAATGAAAAATATCATCATTTTACAAAATAGTTCAAAACATGAAAATATGAGATACTTGAATTTTGATGTTTTGACATAAACCAACTTTTAAAACTTTGTGAAATGTTTTTATAGACTTAGTAAAACATGTATGAACTGATATTGAAGTCTATAAACTAATAAAACAATATTTTCACAAAATTGCATATTCTATGCAATGTTTTCAAAAACACAATAGTAAATATGAAAACTCAAAAACTATGTATGTATATATATAACTATATATATACATAGAAAACAAAACGTATGTATATATATATAACTATATATATATACGAAGAAACCAATAAATGTGTGTGTATAGATATTGAGCTTAACGTATTAAACACACATAATATAAACCTATACTAAATTACCCAAGCTTGATCTTGATCTTCAATAGGCTTGACTTGGTAATCTCGCGGATGAAGCTTGTACTTGATCTTTAACTTGAATTGTATGTAGCTTCACTCCACAAATCCGCCAACCTCCTCTTGATATGATCGTGTAGGCTTAATCCATCCATCCTCCAACAACATTGTTTGTCTACAATACATAGGAATGCACAAACACTAGACAAACAACATTAGTAGTAAATTGTTTGTAAATCATTATCAAAACAAGAATGCCAACATAATTCTCTTCAATAGGATAGTGGGAACACAAAACAATCACATTAATGATTACCTCTGATAGTCAATGTTTAACTTTCATTCAAAAA